TGAGCAGGGTTTCTTTCAGGGAAGCTGAAGTTTTAAGAACCAAAACAGTTGTCAGGTTGAAAACCAAGAGTAATTTTCTGAACAGTATTTCCAAAAACAGAATGATGTCACCTAAAACACCCCCAACTTCTGCCCAACGTGGAAAACAATAGATTACAGAAATCGTTTCCATAGAAGACGTGTAAGAGAACATTCATAGGGCCACAGGGACTGAAGCAGCGAGACGAACAATGAGGCAGTCACAGAGCGTCTAGGAGCTACTGCACTGGTAGTGGTTTATAAAAAATACTATCTATACTAAAGTTTTAAGAGCTATTAATATATTTAGCGTATTTTTGCCTTTTCTTTTTTTGACACTGAATATAAAATTTTGTCCTAAATTTACTAAATCTTCTACACCCTGAGGAATAACAGATTAATGAAAGAAATGCCAGGGTTAGCTTTGTGAACCATATTATTGTCCAAAAAGCACAACCTATAAAGAGCTAATATTCTTGGAAGCACGAAGTTTCATCTCCAGACTAAGCTAATGCTCTCTATTTTTTTTTGAGCAAAGAGTTTGGTTTTAAGTGTTAACATGGCCTAACAAGAATACAGATGTCCAAATTGAGAGCCAGAGGCACACCCTGCCACACACACACACACACACACACACACACACACCCCAGATCTACAACTGACACAATGTTTTTCTGTCTCCACTATAAACTATGACATATTGCTGCCATTTAGGAATATATTATTCAACAGTCCTCGGAAAAGCACTTTGGAATCTTTACCTGTATATTTTTATGAAATTACAAGTTATTTGCTATCTTGAAATCGGGAATTTCTATTTCTCCCCTCTCCATACCCAAATACAACATGCCACATTTTAAATTTCATCTTAGTATTTACTTTTTTTCCTTCAACATGGAATTTGGAAGGGAATACTTAAAGTCCTTAAATCGAGGCAAAAGATTCATTTAGAACAATCATTTGGCCTTCTTGTAGGGCACAGTGCCACTCCTTCCCTTGACCCTGGGCTGCCCAGGCTTCATGCTTATCTTTAATTACACACATGCTTACCTCTAAATACAATGCCTCCGACCCCCAAAAAGTTAGTTGCTATAGGAAAAGAATGAATTCTTCTTGGTAGGGTGCTTAAAAATGCTAACTAAGAAATACAAACCAAAGCATCCTACCTGCTCATATTAGTATCTCATGAAAGGACACAAACTCCAAGGGACCAGACCTAACAACTGGAATCAATGTAACGAATTACAATCAACTGTTTGATAAAACTTCCATCCTTTGTTTTCTACCTGAACATTAAATATAATCTTGTTCCCTCTAGAAAGAAGAAAGGCACTCAAATTAACACAGTATGTTTAGCTATTTTTTAAAAGACATAGTGTGACAAGAATTTTCTTGTCTACTACTACTACTACTACTTTCTACTACCTTCATGCCCCTGAATTTATCTATGCCTTCTTGTGCCTCCACGTACACCTCCATTCAATAGGAGCACACTGAGAGTACATGTAGGCACGGGGAGGTGGCAGCACGCCAAGTACCAGGGTCTGCATGGTTCTGTTTGAGACATTTACTCAGAAGACACAAGTTAATAATGCTGTTCAAATTTTCTAGAATATTTTAAATACTTTAAAGTTCTAAAATATAATTTTCTAGTAACAAAATAACTGTAAGCTTACAAAAAACTTTCTGCAAAAAAAAGAATATATGTTATTCCTTTTTTTAACTAAATCTTTAGTATCTTCTATAATTAAGAGGGACTAAGAGATTACACTGTTGTACAGCAAGAGGCAGTTGTACTCCTAAATTATATTTAGCCCATGCCAGATACCATATTGTGCTACAGAAAATTATTACTTTTAATTTGTTCTCAACAATATTAAAAGTTCTCCTTATATACTAAGCATGAATTGACACTACCTGAATACGTGGAAATCACACAAAGTCTACCACCATATACGCTTTCCTATCAACTGCCACAGAAAAGTCCAGGAACTTTTGTTTTCCTATCTTGTGTCACATAAGCCCTCATCTGAAGATTTAAATAGCTCTGGGTGACAACTTGTATAGGTTTTATCCTATTAACAATGAAGTCCTGAATTTAATTAGAACCGTACCACAGGAGTAAGGGATATGATTTAGAGTCTGAGCCCAGGGTTTCCAAAGAGGGAATAGAAAATGCTAAAACCTAGAAAAGAAAAAAGGGATATTAACAGGTAACTAATCCTAAAATTTTAAAAAAATGACTTATATAGGTTTAAGAAATACCTAAAAGTTCCACAATTCAAGCTGGGGAGGAGAAAAGGAGAAGCATAAAATGACTATCCAGGCACAAATACAGATCACCAAGTCTTTGAAATCAAAGAATTTCTTCAAATGCCCCAGTGTCTCTGGCTCTGTTGGCAAGATCTGTCCTCTAATATTATAAATGAACAGAAAGTAGTGTTCTTGATGCAAACGAGCTTCGTTCTGTGAATTTTTAATATATATTTAAAGTACAGTTATTTCATAATTATAGAGCTGCATTTCTTGGCTGGGATTTAATGAGCTTAAACAAGGTAGTTAAATGAAGAAAAAAATCTAAACTACCTTACTGTGTATGTAAAAGCTCACCTGAAGTATCATGAATCGAGAATCTATCATTCATTCACAATCCATTGCTCTAATCTGTTAATTTCTCAATCATAACTCATTCTATGCATTACTCATGATCAATCTTTCCCTTCGTCAAACAGTTAATCATTTATTAATTTGATAAATATTTAATGAGTCCTCACAATGTGCAAGGCACACAGTATAATGTGGGAACACCATATTAACAAAATAGGTGTACTTAAAAAAAGGTGGGATGAGGGAGGAAGGTGGTGGTGAAGGTATTTACAGATCTTATTGCTTTTGGCTTGTCGGTAGTATTCTTGATCCACAGGAAGGTACCATAGCCTACTATTCTCCCAATGGAAGTTTGATGAAATGTGTGTCAATCCAAACTATCTTTTTGACAATGACTTATTTATAAGAAAAAAAAAAAAAAAAGACTGACAAGTCCCTGAAAATAGACACACCTTTCCACTGCATAAACTCATCCAAAGAGATGTTACCACACTCCAGCTAATGAGTGTAGATGTCAACCATTTAGAGAAAAACACAACCAGATAGGGCAATACTAGGTTCTTCTGTGAATGAACACTTGAAAAATGCAAATTTTAGAAATAAAGTAGCACATAAAAGTCACAAACAGTAAATATCCTTTAGATATTTGTACTTTTACTCCCTACTCAAAACGTTATTAGGAAGACAAGAGACCAAGGTATCTTATAGGATTGCATGGCTTCATAAAGGGGTGGATTAAGGGCCTTAAAACACATGAAGACAGATCACATCAAAGGTGGAGGCTATAAAAAGGTGGGGCCGCGATCAAACTGAGCTGATGTTTTATAGGGTCTTGTCTCTACTCCTGTCCTGACACTCTCACATCAAAGCATAAGAAGCCCTAGTACTTGGGATACTCAGACTGATGTGTGGAAAAAAGGTAAACTGAGTGAGGCCAGGATTTGACAGCATGTATTTAGGGGAATGGGCTGACTCTCATGCCCTCTCTGTGTGGTCTCCCCACCATGCCCTGCAGGTGCTGAAAATCACAAACTAATGGTTTTATCCACAGAGGTCTAGGTAGACCTTGAGGTATTTGATTCAAAATATGCTTTGTCCACAAAGGGCCACAGAATTATGTTCAAAATGATAGTTATTTTCTTACCTAAATATTATGAAAACTATAAAAGGTTAATTTTGCCCCAAGAGAGAAAAGCAGGTTCTGTCTACCAAGACGCAGGCTGAACAATTTTTCTGGTGTTCTTAAGTCTTACCGGACAGTTTGCTACTCATCAAAATCATGATGCACAAAAAGAACTCATTCTTCTCCTAAACTTAAGGCAGTGTGCCTCTCTCAAGCCCAGGGTTTCCATAATAGAAGACAGGAGAGGTCTGCCTTTCCCTAGGTCTGTCCCCTCACCCTACAGGTGACCTAGTGAGGAAAAAGGAGAGCAAGCAAAGTACGGCGGTCACACTTACTTAGGCCACTAGTACATTCCGCACACATATAGGACAATAGGCAGTTTCTGTCATTAGGGGAACTTTTAGAGGGGCAGTTCATTTTAGTATTTTTTTTGTGTGTGTGTGTGTGTGTGTGTGTGTGTGTGTGTGTGTCTATGTGTGTTTAATGGGGTATGAAACTCACTGGAAAGAGGACAGAGAGTATCTTCAGTACACATCCTCAAAATAAGACAATTAAGGAAAAACATACAAAAGTGAAAGTGTCAAAACATATGGAATGGATTGGGAAAATAAAGAAAAGGATATGTGGAGAGGAAATAACAAACACAGACCATTTACATGGGGGAAAATATATTAAGAAAGTAAACATTACCAGGCCCTTTTCCCACCCTGCCTCACAGACCTGAAAAACCCAGCCCTTATTATTGAAAAGATAAGATATAGCTGTGAGGTGGCTACTTTGGTACCTCATCCCTGATAAGTTTAATATCAAAGTCTTTAAGTTGTTTTTTTTTTTTTGTTTTTTTTTTTTAAAACAAAGGTTGAAGAACTAATCTTCAAAAGCTATTCTCTCCTCTGGCATTTACCAGCAAACTTTTAACAATTACTTCATAAAAATTTTGTAGTTTAAGTATATCCTTAGGAACTTAAATTTTTAAAAAGAAAGATTTTTATGGATACATTTCCATGCATATTTTCCCCACTTTTCATGGCGAATTTAAAAGGGAAATAAGTATTAGGAACTAAAAATGACATTTCAGGTTTAAACAACAAATGATGTTTATATGGGCTAACTTGAGTGTTTTTGGCCTGTACCAAATTCGAGGTAAAAAGAATCTATCAAAACTAGTAATAAAAATAATTTCCCAGTCCTGTAATTACATAAACTCTTATAATTCATTTTTCTTTTAAAATAACCATTTTAAAATGGATTACACATTAGAAGCATGTTTTTATATAAATTCCAATACTTCTGACTTTGGTTACATTGGTCAATAACTTGAATAGAGAAAGAGAAATGATTTATATTTTCACGAATCCATCTATCTGGCCACTTGATTTTCAAAACAATAATTAGATATGAGTAATTTTGAGCTTGTATTATTCTAAAGCTGAACAACATAAATTTTTAATTAAAAACAAACAAACAAACAAAAAAACCAGCCTATGCAGCAATTGCACCGAGTGGGGTAGACGTGTCTGTGAACCAGTCAGGAGAACCAAATGAGAAGAAGCTACACGTATAGAAATATAAAGGATGAGAAGTTAAGAAAAAAAAAATTAAGACTCACTGTTTAGCAGGAAGAAACTACACAGTTATTTTATCCCCAAAGGAATGCCAGTTCTTAACAAAATAAATAAATGAAACATTTACTACGGACTTTTAGCCTAAAGATGAAGACCACATCATAGCAAACAGTTCATGCAACTATGTAAGGAAGAAAGGAAAGCAATATTGCACTAAAAGGGTGACCTTGCAGAACTAATCCACCTCTTTCACTGACTCAACGTAACCAGCCATTTCCTGTAGGCATTGGCAAACCTGGCCTGCTCTACGTTCCGGCAGGTGGACAATACTTGATCGATGAACCTATGCTCCATTTCCAGGCCCCGGGAGTCAGGAGCTGGGGTCCGCTTCAGGCGTTTGGTTTCCTGGGAATAGCCTTGCTTGCCACAGTCATTCAGCCCATCCACCTCCATGGCCTGAGGCATGTGCGGGCCTGCTGGGGGGAGGTGCAAGTCACTCAGAGTCCCCCCAGGGCTGTCTGCAGGTGACAACTGGGTCACACTGTGAGGAAACCTACCACTTAAGTGATGCTGAAGGTAGAAAATGTGCCGCCTGGGAAAGAGGAGGGGGAGAAAGGGAACACCGAGAAGAAAAATCATTATCGTGAAGTCAAGATGTTCAGGGGAGAAAAAAAACACAATAGTAATAAGTTGATAATTTCAAAACATATAGTGCTCAGTTTGCTGCCCCCCCTTAGCGACCAGAGTTACCTGGAGGCAGGGAGGAGGAACAATTACCTAAGTCTCTGCATATTTAGACCAGAGTCTTACAAGCCCAGATTACTGGACTGTTTGTGAGAAAGAATCCTACATATGACCCCAAAGGGTTTTGGGTTTTTTTTTTTTTTTTTTGACCCCAAAGGATTTTTACACCATTGACTGAGATGATGCTAATCACTTGGAATTGTTACTCTTTGTAACCACAATACAAAATGAGAAATAGGTCTTAGCCCAATTTCTGCTATTAAAAAACAAAACAGAAGCAAAAATTAACTTCACTGATATCCTAAAACAGAAGTGATTTAGGAACAAGGGGATTAAATAGCTCATCCAAAGGCTTTTAGTCCATGGCCTCTATGTTCTGTATTTTCTTTAGTAAGAACATGTATTATCTAAAAACCAACTGAACTTTTCCTAAAACCCACCACTACAGTCTCATTAAATAAATGAATGAGATTTATTTATTTATTAGGGATGTGCTGGGCTCTGAGCAAAGCATGTAAAAGGCACAGCTCTTGCACTTCCTCTAAGGAGAGCAGTTCTCCTGCCCTTAGGCTCATCCAGAATTATTTGATTTTGTTTGTTTGCTTGAAGATTTTATTTATTTGACAGAGAGAGAGACAGCGAGAGAGGGAATACAAGCAGGGGGAGCGGGAACAAACTCCCCCTGAGCAGGGAGACTGATGAGGGGCTCCATCCTAGGACCCTGAGATCATGACCTGAGCCGAGGGCAGATGCTTAACAACTGAGGAGTTATTTGTTAACAGTGAAGATCTATGTGTCTAATCTGCAAAAATTCTGACTCAGTGGGGGTGCACATCTGCTGTTCACAACTGGTAAACTACATAGATTCTAGGTTGTTCTATCTCATTATTTATATTAGCAACTCTAAGCCCTTGAAAGAGAATTCTGTTCATTTTCCCAGCATATTCTGGAGTAGACAGGGGGCATATGATTTATCCATTTTATAGAGGATAAAACTTAAAGAACAGATAAGGTGCCTCAGTGCAATGAATGAAGAGCCAGAAACTGGCCTGTATAATATAGAGGTCATCTAAACTGTCACTTCTCCCCATGCCTCACCCCAAATTTCAATTAATCTTTATAGAAGGCTTCTGCTAATAGCTATCTTTTTTTTTTTTTTTTAAAGATTTTATTTATTTATTTGACAGAGAGAGATCACAGTAGACAGAGGCAGGCAGAGAGAGAGAGAGAGAGGGAAGCAGGCTCCCTGCTGAGCAGAGAGCCCGATGCGGGACTCAATCCCAGGACCCTGGGATCATGACCCGAGCCGAAGGCAGTGGCTTAACCGGCCACCCAGGCGCCCCTGCTAATAGCTATCTCTTAACACAAATATAATTTTTAAATTTTCTCAGCCTTGCTACTGATGCACCTAAATATAGAATAGCAACAGAAATCTATTAACGCCAAAACAATATGGAAGTTAAGATCTTCTCTCTAGAAAATGTAGAGGAAGAGTGTCTTATTTTTTTTTTTTATTTTTATTTTTTTTTAAGATTTTATTTATTTATTTGACAGAGAGAAATCACAAGTAAGCAGAGAGGCAGGCAGAGAGAGAGGAGGAAGCAGGCTCCCTGCTGAGCTGAAAGCCCGATGTGGGGCTCAAACCCAGGACCTGGGATCATGACCTGAGCCGAAGGCAGCGGCTTAACCCACTGAGCCACCCAGGCGCCCCAAGAGTGTCTTATTTTTACGAGAAAAATTTTTTTCATGAAGGTGCCAAAGAGGGGAGTCTTCCATCTTCTAAATACGAGCAGCAGCTGAACGCATCTCCTCAAATAGCCTACAAGAGAGACTAGACTGGCAAAAGGGGGGCAAATCTCAGCAACTTTAAAAATATAAAAACATACAAATATTTAAAATGCCTACCTCCTGCCTGGCACAGCAAGTCCTTTGTTTATAAACAGAATCCTCTAGTCTGAAATAGAATCCATATTTATAGAGATGGAGATGCCTCAAAAAAGAATCAATCGGGGGTTCCCACACCTGGACTTCATCCCAGTATGACAGTTATTTTGAGGTCAAATGTACTCAGAACCCACATTCTGAGGTTGTTCATTTCTTTTACTGCTTCCTAATAATCCTGCCCTGTGTGTCAAGAGCTTATACTTAAGGAAACTTAATTTGCAGACTATCAATAAGCTTAACTATTCTCAAGGCCTAATCAATGGTCTACATCCGACTCTGCATCAAATTTACCTGTTAAGTTTTTTTGGTTTTTGTTTTTTTAAAGACTAGATGGCAGTGTTCCATCCCAGATAGATAGATAGATAGATAGATACAGATATCTATCTCTCTCTCTATATATATATCAGAATCTCCAAGGAGAGAGTTGAGAAACTTCTGTTCACAGTTTGGAAGTAACAGAGGCTACTCTGTTGGACAGTCAAGCTTGAATACCCCCAACCTAAACATTAGGCAGAGATCTGCATGAGGAACCTCATATTGAAGATCACGAGGAAGAAGGATGGTAGCATAAACTCCTCTGAATTCACGCAAAGCTCCACGATCAGTTACCTACCACCTGAGCAGGCAGGCGGAAGACAGAAGACCTTCTACAGCTCTCATGAACTCAAGCAGTTCCATGCAGAAAATAGATTTTCTGTCCTCTTACCTGTGACACCAAAGGGTTTCATGTCCTGGGTAGGAATCAATAAGATCAGTGCTAAATTCAACTTCTTCTTCTAGAAGACGGGGAAGATTTATCCTCGCTTCCTCTGTTGAAGCTGCTGCTTCTTCATCTTTTAGAAGAGCTGGCTCACTTCTCAAAGGGTTTTGCTCCAATACAGTACCATCTATCACAGTTTGGCTAATCAAAGACTTTAACAAAAACTGGCGGTAGTGAAATCCACTGTGGTCTGAAACATGCATGGATGCCCAGTGTTTAGTAGAAGAGAGTTCATCAAGAAGAATCTTGTAGGAAGAAAAAAGGGAAGTGAGAAGAGGAACTGCTAAAGGAATTTCTCCATTAATGCTTCCCATTTCTCTTTGATTTGTTCCTTGTATTTTTTGGTAACATTGTTTCTATCAATACTTTGTATACAATGTCCAACACAGTGGTATCAGTCAGTGTAAGCTCAGTAAAGGCTAGTTTCCCCTTTCCCTAATAAAGTTGTAAGACGTGTGCGTGTATATACACACACACACAGACATACACAATTTAAGGACTTATTTTTCATTCTTTCTCTGGACCTTGATCAATCACATTCTGATTGGCACATACATAGAAAAACTATTCTAAAATAATGATGAACATTAGGGTGTTTATTTACAAGAATGCTGATGTTGAGAGAAAATATAAACTCAAAGGTTACTTTGATGAACTTTAATATTTAATGAACATTACAATATCTAACTTATTATTTGTCAAACAACTGATTCATTGTATTATTTGTTCTTCACTGTAAGTGCCATGAGGGCAGAGACGGTCAGTTTTGTTCACTATTAACTCTAAGGGCTTAGTACAAAAAATATGATGCATTAGTAACAGGAATTTTCAAGAGCGCATGATTTTCACTATTCATCTCAAACTCAATTAACATCAATGATAAATGATTTTTTTTTTTTAAGTAGAGGAGACAAAATTCAGCAGTGAATTAAGTCTTTGTATTATCAATCCTGCAAACTAAGCAACTTCAAATGGAATAATTAAAAAGAAAAGCAGCAGTTATGAAAAAATAAATTATCTGGCAGTGTCTTGGACAAGCAGCAAATGCAAATGGATTCTGATCAGCAAAAGCTATATTGAGGGCCTCCCACATGCCATTAGAGGACTTTCAGACCAGTTAAGTAAAAAAGACATATACTTGCCAGCAGTGAATAATACAGACAGCACAAAGCCCAAGTGCTCCTCCTCTATCTGCTTTTCAAGGGTCCCACGCAAATGCCTTCTCTCATACCGAGAGTCCTCTCCATTCCTCACGGTTCCTTTCTTCCCTAGAAGAAATCTCTCCCTCTCCTGAACCTCCATGGTTCCTGTGTGCTCTACTATACATATAGAATGTCTGCACATCTTTTCATCCCCACTAAATTCTGTAAGTTGTTGAAGATATTTATTCATTCCTAATTAATGCTTCCAACATTCTATACTCAATGGCATCAGAGTGAACACATAAGTATTTTATGAATGAATCAACGATTGAACTGAACAATTTGATGAATTAAGTGACTAGTAGAGAGGAACAAGATTACTCCCAGCAAAGGACAGTTGATATATATCAGGGAAATGCTTTAAGCCTCTCCTTTAAATTCTAATGAGTTTATTCAAAGCCAAATAGGTTTGTTCCAGAGCTGGTGAATCTCTGAGAAATGGCAAACAAGACTGTTCATCTGGTGAGCAAAACAGCACCAGATAAACTTCCACCTTAGAAAAATATATACTAACCCTGAGGTTATTACATCTTTGAAGAATTAACCTGCAGGATATTTAGGCAGTAATACATCAGCTTTTTAATTCTGGTTTGGTAGGGTTTCTTAATACAGATTGAAAAGAGTACAAAACTGTTTCAAAGGAATTTACGTAACATGAAAAACTTTTAGATTATTTCTTATTGCGCGTTTCTATATGTAAAATTTTCAATTATTTTAATTTCGAGACAAAATAATAGCACATATATGATAAATTTTCAACAATATAAATGTAATTCCTTTAAAAATTTTTCTCAGACTTTTTAAGAGAAAAATTCACTATATTCTTTGCCCTTCCTATATTTAAGAGGCATACTAAATGAGAAAAGAAACTTCAACAGGAATTTTGGGGCATTTTTTTTACTAAAATCAAAAGGCGCAGAGATATAAACAATATTTTTTCCCAACATTTTCTTAGCTATTCTTGAAGTTTTATTCTTCCTAATGTACTTTAGAACCAGTTTTTGAAGTTGAAAAATAAACTGGTGGTTTTCAGTATATATACAGACTTGTGCAGCCATCACTGCTGTCTCTTTTCAGAACATTTTCATCACCTCCCAAATTCCTATTAGGAGGGTCCTATTCCTATTAAGGGTCCTCTAAATCTCCATTCCCTTCAGCCACTAATGTGCTCTGCCTATTCTGAATGTCATATAAATGAAATTATAGAAGATGGGCATTCTGAACCTGGCTTCTTGCCATCAGCATGTTTTTAAGGTTCATCCACATATCAGGACTTTGTTCCTTTTTATGACTGAATAACATCCCATTGTAAGGATATACCACACTGCATTTATCTACTCCTCAGATATTGGACGTTTGAGTTGTTACTTGTTTTGGCTATTATAAATTATGCTGCTACAAACACTGCTGTAACGAGTTTTCCATTCTGTGGGATATATACCTGAGAGTAGAACTGCAAGGTCATAGGTGGTAATTCTAGTTTTAATTTTTTGAGGAAATGCCAAACCGCTTTCCACAGCGGCTGCATCATTTCACATTCCTACCAGCATGTATAAGGGTCCCAGTTTCTCCACAACCTTGTCAGCACTTTTAACTTGTTTTTGTTTCAGCCATCCTACTTGGTATGAAATGATATCTCACTGTGGTTCTGATTTGCATTTCCCTGATGGCTAATGATGCTGAACATCTTTTCATGTCTTTACTGGCCATCTGTATGTCTTTTTTTACAGAAATGGCCCTATGTGCTTTCTCAGGTGACATACCATTATCAACTTTTAATTGGCTAGTAGTAATAAATTCTGTTCAACTTTTGAGTTTTTCCTCTCACCCCACCCTCACAAATGAGGCTATTTTAAAATTTACTTAAATAAATATCTACCTAAAACACACACTCACCACAGAAAATAAAAAACTCGTAATTTCATCCTCTAGCACTGTTCACAATTCTTTATTCTCTCTCTCTCTCTCTTTTTTTTTTACTAGAAAATGAATACGTGTATGTATTATGGAAACACAAGCCAATATATCTGTAATAGCACTGTGTGTGTGTATATATGTTAAGCAGTTACAATATGCCAAGCACTGCTCCAAACACTAAGATCTCATTCAAAGCTAATAATATATTAAAAAATTATATTAGGGCCATCTCATATTTAGTTTTAAAGATTCTTATCCTATACTGAACTTTTTCATTATTTTATTTTTTTAAAATTTTATTTATTTATTTGACAGACAGAGATCACAAGTAGGCAGAGAGGCAGGCAGAGAGAAAGGAGGAAGTAGGCTCCCTACTGAGCAGAGAGCCCGATTCGGGGCTCGATCCCAGGACCCTGAGATCATGACCTGAGCCGAAGGCAGAGGCTTTAACTCACTGAGCCACCCAGGCGCCCCTGAACTTTTTCTTTAAATACTCTTCCAAAATATAATTTTTAGTAATAATAAAATATTCCAATATGTGGTGAACTGCAATGTAACTGATCTGTTATTATTGGAGGGTTAGACTGGTTCTACCTTTCCACTATTATAACTAGCATTTCTATATATCAAACTTTCATATTTAATAGCCTGTGTTTATTGAACACTTAGTACGAGCACTTCTGGTGGCCACTTTACGTGGATTTCCCATTTAATTCACATCACTCAGTAAGGTAGGAATTTTCACCTGTCCCATTTTACTGATGAAGAAACTAAAGTTAGTGAGGTTAAGAAATTTCTCCAAGGCCACAAACCAAAATGGTGGTATAGTCAGGATTCAAATTAGGTCTGTCTGACCAATGAGTGGAGCCTTTAATTACTACACCACCATACACCGGTATTTCTTTAGGATGAATTCCCATAAGCAGAAATCCTAGATGAGAAAGAACACAACTTTTTTTGTAGAGTCAGATAAATGCTGCCATTCTGTCCTTCAGTAAGATCCCACCAATTTCTATGATGCTTGCTTTCATAGCCTTATCAATGCTGTATACCAGCACTTTAAAAAAAATTTTCTTGGGGGGTGCCTGGGTGGCTCAGTCAGTTCAATATCTGCCTTAGGCTAAGGTCATGACCTTGGGGTCCTGGGATTGAGCCCCACATCATGCTCTCTGCTCAGTGGGGAGTCTGCTTCTCCCCCTCTCTCTGCCCCTTCCCCCAGCTTGTGCTGTCTCTTTCTCAAATAAATAAAATCTTAAAAAAAAAAAATCGTTTAAAATTTCCCAAGTAAAAAGATGACAGCTCATTTTATATGTACTTTTTTTTTTTAAAGATTTTATTTATTTATTTGACAGAGAGAGATCACAAGTAGACAGAGAGGCAGGCAGAGAGAGAGAGAGAGAGAGAGAGAGGGAAGCAGGCTCCCTGCCGAGCAGAGAGCCCGATGCGGGACTCGATCCCAGGACCCTGAGATCATGACCTGAGCTGAAGGCAGCGGCTTAACCCACTGAGCCACCCAGGCGCCCCTTTATATGTACTTTTAAGCTGCTTTAGACCAGTGGTACTTCTGTGATGACTGCCTCTAACAGACAAAGCACAGGAGGGCATGATCTCCTAGCGGGGCCCAGTGGCTTCTAAGAACAGAAAGAGGATTGTGCAAATTCAGCATTCTTCACTGAGACAGCTGCAGTGGCAGGGGGAAAGGAAGAGTATGGAGCTCAACCAAGGGCAGGGCATAGCCGGTGGACAACATGTGAGCCTAGCAGTGGACTCAGGCCGCTGAATCAACACACCACTAATGAGTTGTCATCTTCAATATCAGATAGCCTCAAAAAAACAAGAATTTCACTTTACCCCCGTGTTCTTGATTTTAAGGGAATGCCACTTTAAAGGGTCCACATCAAGGCAGGCAGGTCTCCAAAGACCGTTCAGCTCACCTGGACTCTGCCTTTCTCTTTATACTCAGTCCCCATGCACCTTCCCAGCCCCTACACACTATCAAGTTGTGGAGTTGAGATGACCAGACTCCGTAAGAACTCCCCTATCTCCCACATCCCGCCAGATGACTTGAACTTGTTCCTCCGGACTCCTGACAATGTAGCAGCCTTCCTTCTGGCAGCTGTTTCCAATGAGCCCAGCCTAGATGAGAAGCCATTTCTGTGCTCCCACTGTCCCCCGTGCTTCCCTCAGCTCCTGCGAGGGTCAAACTGCTTTGTGAGTGCTGGTATCCACTTCCTCAACTAGATTTTCAATTTGTTGAGAGCAATCTCGCTGTCATTATGCCACACCCAGCATATAAGGCATTGTCTGGGAATGAAAGAGTTTCAGTACTTTTTCATGAATAAATTACATTGAGTTGATCAAGCAAACTGGGAGTCAGTTTCACCTAAACCTTCTATCTGTGAGGAACAGAGAAAGGAACTAAAATACAGTAAGCCTCTATTAGGTGCCCAGTACTTTACACACATGAACTCAAATTGTCAGAATAATCCACTGAGGCAGGCAGTGGAGCTGGTATTTCACAGATGAAACATGAAAGCCTTACTTTTCACACATAGCTAGTAAGGCCAAAATGTGAAGCCAGGTCAGTAGGATTCTGTCTTTGCTCTTTCCACTCCTTTAAGGGGCCTCCCCTCCTGAAACACACAACTGGGGGGAAGGGCTACTCTTCCAGAACCGTTGGCTTAAAATTCCCCAGAAATGAAAACTCTTATTTACACTGGAGGAATCTCTGGCTAGGACACAGAGTGGGGAGAGGGGGATGAAGGAAGGGGCTGGTGAACGAAAGGAGAGAATGTTTCCTAGTTAATCTGAAAGTACCACTTGAGGTATTCTGGCCCCTTTAAGTCGTCTCAAGCCTGAGAAGCTCTCAGAGCAGGGCCCTACATTCTTACGGCACTGAAACGTAAGAAGTGAAGAAAAATATAGAGAAGCTATAGTACGTAAGAAGGAGAAAAGGATACCTGGTTCTTGTCCTGATGAATAGTAAGTGACGCAACTGTGGCTAAGTCTAAGCCATTAACATTCTCTGGAAACTTTGATCTCCTCATTTCTAAACTGAAGGGTCTAGGCTATGATAGCTTCCAACTCAGCTCTGTCTCCAGATAACCCCCTGAGCCCCGTGAAAAATACTGATCTTAAATCCTACCCTCTCCCCAATTTAGTAGGCCTGGGGTGGGACTCAGAAATCCTAATGGAATTTATAGACTTGGGCAAGTTTGGGAACAGCAGGTGAGGTCTCTTCCCTCCCCAGGAGAGGAGATGGTGAGAAGGCAGCCAGCTGATTCAGCACATTAAGTCACACAAGCAGAGACCACTAAGAAAGAGCAATTCCAGCGCTATAAGGCCTAATAATCCCTTCCTGTTTCAGAGCAAAAGGAATTATGCTCAGTCTTCTTACTGCTTAAACTTGTCCTCATTCTACCAATATACTAACCCCAAGAGTGCCAGAAACTGCACTGGTAAGAAATGCAAACTTTTTAAATTGCCGGGGTTTCCTTGGAGGGATCAGTTGCTAGATCCTTCCCACGCTGCTAGGTCATTAGTTCCTCTACTTTCCTCCTTAAAAGCTCTTCTGAGGAGGAACTACTATCAGAATATTTAAAGGGCACACAGGGAATGTGGCTCGGGAGATGAAGAACAGCCTTACCTTCACGTCTAGCTTGGCCAGGTGCTGGAGAACCCAGATGCGATGGGACCAGGCATTGTAGTTGCTCGGGTATCTGCCTGCTGCTTCGCCACAGACTTCCATCTCTTCTTGGATCAGTCTCTGTGTCCTTTCTGCAGGAACTGTTCCCAAGTTTCCTTTCGTCACAAAGGAAGGCAAGGAGGTTTCCTGAATGAGCTGTTGTAGCACCCATCGCCTGTGAAGGTACATGTGGGAATGAAAATGAGGAAAGAACATAAACCGGAGAGGTGCAAAACAATGCAAAATGCAAAACAGTGCAAAACAATCCCTGTCCATGAGCCCAATTTTGGGGGAGTGGGATTATTCTGTTGTTTTTGTTTTTAAAGATGTAATTAACTTCGGCAGCATGGACGGGGAGGAGGGGGAAGAAAGGACAAAGAGGAAAGAGAAACCTTTCTAGAACATTAAAATTTGTCAGAAAGAGAATGCCTCAACTCCAATATAACAACTCAGTTTGAGTTGAACTGGAGTTCAAATAGAACTCCACGTGGCCAGAAAATGCAAAGACAAGGTGCGAATGTGGAGGGGGACTGCGTGGTGGAGGGGATATTAAGTAATGGCTGGTAAATACCAGAGGAGGAGTCACAGTTCACATCTTTAATTACACTTGCACGCCTCACCCTATGTGTATTTGCCGCAAACAAGAAGCTGCATTGTGACTGCTTTCATTAAGCAGGATTTCTATGTTACAGCATAGAATCTGGGAGGACACAGATACAATATAATTAGTTACAACTATGAGGAGGTTTTAAAATGTCTTTATCCACAAATATTCCCTTGTCTAAGATTTTCATTAGCACACTTATTTAAATGAAAAGCATTAAAAAAGCATCTCTGGCCACTTAACGTGCTTAGTTTTTACAAGTATTTTCTCGAGCATTCTTTTAGATTAAAAATTTCCAACCCGGAAGTTACTAGAAATTGAGTAAGAAAACTCATTTTGTCATTTTCAAATAGAAGTTTTTTTTACTTAACTTATAAAACAAAAGCTTGCTTTATATAAAATATTAGACAAGCCTAGAAATTGGTGAATGCATATTCAACACTGCCCTCCCCAGCCACCGCTCCTTTCCAGACCTCCACACACACAACCACAGGCCTCTTTGAAGTGCTATCCCAATTCCTACTAAGAAAAAACAACCAGCATGGAAGCAGCTGATCTGCAGTGCTAGCCAAAGGCAAGATCATAGTGAAGATACCTCAAACTGACTAAAATCCTAAAAATGCTCAGGATTTAAGAAAAGTTGTAAGCGGCTTAGTAAACCGAAAACAGATTTCTTTGAAGAATTTCCCCGCTGACCCCAGGAAGCCAGCCCACACCATCTCATTTAGTCAAAACTGAGTAGTTCCACAGAGTCCAAGAGGAATGCGCTCCAGAGAGCCAGGGTGGCGAGGAGACTTTTCACGTGCACTGGGGCTGACTCAGGCCTTTACGCTAAAAATATTCTCTGCATTTACAGTCTTAGCAACTTCAGCGCTGCCTCTACACCACTCACCTCAGCCGCCCTTATTTTCCTTATTTTGTTAATTTTAATAACCACAGCCATCACCACAACCATCCATACCAGAAACATATCTGCATGAATTATAAAACCCAAGTTCCTCATTATAGTTGACCATCTCAATGCCATTTCTATGACTGCTCAGATAGTTCATAATGAACAGTAACAGCTAAAATTCGCTGAGCATTTAGTATGTGCCCGGCACTGTGGTAGTGTTAATATACATTATTTCATGGAAAGCCAACCATTAACTCTGAAATAGGTGTAATTATTATTTCCACTTTATGAATGAGAAAACTGAGGCTTGAAGAGCTTAAATCATTTCTGACAGTCACACAGGGAGCACGTGATGGCATCTGGAGCTGGAAAGGAGTTAACTTGAGTTTAGAATTCACACTCTGAACCCGTATGTGACTCTGCTTGACACGTGTTTCTCCAGCAATTCTGAACCCTCGAGACCTACGGTGTAAAGTAACCACACCTGTGAATCCATGTTTCTGGACTCTTTGGAAATTTAGTTAAGGCCAGTTTTCCCAGATGCAAGTCCTTAATTGGATTTAAAGTGCCAGAGAGGATGAGCTCTTTTCTGTAAAAGAAAAATGAAAAGAACCATTACTCTACCTTTCCATCCAAACATACTGCATGGCTATTAACATAACCTCACTGGGAAGAAAATAAGAAAACAAGAAACTCATTAAGTATCACACACAGTAATCAGAATATATTTTTGTAATCTCACAGTAACAGGATTCATAAGCAGAAACAGAAGCTCTTAAATCGACAGCGGAACTTTAGTTAACCTATTTGGGAAAGGGCAAAGAGGTTTTCTGGCTATTTCATTTCCAAAACTTACAAGGCTGGACATCAGTATCTGTAAGGCAGATCCAACACTGGTCAAGAATTGTTCTAGCTTCCTAAGCTAAGTTCATTACCAAAAATACATAAAGAGCAACACACAGCATGATTAAGGTGTAAGGAAAAAATCATTCATTAATCACTATCTTAACAAAATTACTATTTTTATTTTTTAATTTTCCCTCTGTCTTTCCTCATATACATATACATTTTACCATATAATTTTCTATTCTGCTTTATAGCTTAAAGAATTATTCCATGGTTCTACATAATCTTTAAAGCAAACATTTAAATCAAATAGTTTTCATTGAGTGGCTATGCTATTTTTCCTCTTTGGTTATAGACATTTAGGTTGCTTCTAAGTTTTTACTTTCCTGAAATAGAAATTTGTGCTTAAGATGTCTTTCATTTCTGCTACTACTTAGGGTACGTTCCCAAAGATATTATTACCAGGTAAACTGCCTGCACGGCCCTTGATACACGAGACCATTCCTTTTTGAAATACAAATACAAGTAAGAGCAATGTGAGGTTTTTGTTGTCATTTTAAAAGTGTTCAAAGCTCCCATGCAGTTATAAAGAATGTCATGCAAGAGCTCTCCACCTGTTATTTCTCAAGTAAATACAATTTAAGTTTTGATTTAACTTCTCAAATAAGTTGATAATAAGCTCTGATATTACTGATTATACTCCTAATTAATTTTCAGTGTATCTATTATAATGAAATTAGATCATTTACTAGAATTTGTTCATCTTAAAAAGTCCTACCTGTGGTAGGGTTGATAATTCATTTATTTTAGAGAACTTTAATCCCAAGAAGACGAGAGCCCAGATCACATACCTCACCTACTTAGATGAACTTAGCTCCTAATGACCACTATACATTTTCTTTCCAACAGCAATGTGCTATTTCTAACATTTATTTGATAAGGAAAATAACTTCCTTCTTAGTGAAAATACTGAACAGTGATGACAAATGTTTTTATTTTACAATCATTTTAGGTTAGGCACTTCACTCCAGGATATAATTTCAAGTGATACTAAGAAGGTTTATGGATACTTTAACAAATGGGTTTATTGACTATTTTTCTTTCAATGTACAGGAAGTCTGTGTGGCATTGAAAGGGTATTTAATGCAGCAGCCAGTTACTTTTGCAGTTCTGCAACCTTTTTCTTCTGAAATCAGTAAGGTCTCATTATACAGTAAGTCAGGATACCTATAGTGTAAAAAGGGGGAAAATATTATTCTATATAATTGTATTTATAATTCTTTGTACTTCAGTGTTTCTCAAAGTAGGTCCTTAACTGCAACATCACCATCACTTGGGACTTGTAAGAAATACGTATCTCAGGCCGCAGCCCAGACCCGGTGAATCAGAAACTAGTGACAAAGCAAGGTGTTTGAACAAGCACTCCAGGTGATGCACACCAAAGTTTAAAAACCGCTATGGTGTGGAATTTGCCACATTAAGCCTAATTTCCATTTATTAAATTAAAAACCTCTCCTTATTACAACTATCTATACTCCCATCTATATGTATGGGGAAATAGTCCAAATTTTCTTCAGTAAAGACGAGTCACTTTATACCTGAATCTTTAAAAAGTTTCTTAAATTAGGGTTCCTTAAAAAAAAAAAATAAAAAGAAGATTTTATTTATTCATTTTGAGAGACAGAAAGAAAGCCAGCAGGGGAGGAGCAGAGGGACAGAGAGAATCTCAACCGGACTCCATGCTGTGCGCGGAGACTGACGTAGGGCTCCATCTCAGAATCCTGAGCCCATGACCAGAGCCGAAATGAAGAGTCAGACACTCAACCCACTGAGTCACCCAGATGCCCCTGTGGGTGCTCTATTAATTTATTTTGCACAAAATATTTGGGAAGATATCTTAGCCTAAAAGAACGCCAATCAATGGTATATGTGGATGCTTAAAAAGATCACCTGATAGAATAATAAAAAAGGAAGCAGAATTTAAATATCAATTCAATAAACATTCCTGGCCACAGGACTCAACACTGTAGGCATTGAATATTATCAAAAAATTCTTAAAAATAATCTTTTTTTTTTTTTCAAAGATTTTATTTATTTATTTGTCAGAGAGAGAGAGAGAGGGAGAGAGAGCAAGCACAGGCAGACAGAATGGCAGGCAGAGGCAGAGGGAGAAGCAGGCTCCCTGATGAGCAAGGAGCCCGATGTGGGACTCGATCCCAGGACGCTGGGATCATGACCTGAGCCGAAGGCAGCTGCTTAACCAACTGAGCCACCCAGGCGTCCCATCTTTTTTTTTTTTTTAAAGAGTTTATCTATTTCTTTGAGAGAGAGAGAGAGAACAAGCACAAGAGGAATGAGGGCGCAGAGGGAGAAGCAGACTTCCTGCTGAGCAGGGAGCCAGATGCTGGGCTCAATCCCAGGGGCTCTGGAATCGTGACCTGAGTTGAAGGCAGACATTTAACCAATTGAGCCACCCAGGCGTCCCATAAACAAAATTTTTAAAGATGACTTAAAAAAGGAATATAGTAAATGATTACATTATAGCCAGCACTTAACCAAGAGATATAATAAAAGAAAATCAAGTGCTCGAATACATTCAGTAGGGATCTATCTTGAGAAAAATTTCAGTCCCACATGGGTTCAAAAAGTGCTCTACGTATCTCAAACAAGCTATACATGTAAACATTATGTGCTCTGGAAAATGTCTGGATAAGTTGGAAAAAAAATAACTCTTGTGATGACAAAGTCACTGATGTCAATAAGCCATGTGAGACATCGGAATTAAATTGTTTAATGAAATTTGAGTAGGAAAATGACAAATTAATAAATTCAAATACTTCATTTAGCGAGTTATTTTAAAGGTATCTAACTAAATTTAAGAAGTAAATAACATATTAAGATATTTGCTTATTTCATGCACATATCTTTAAGTTTACATATTGATATTAGCCTAAAATAATTTTTTTGGACTTTCTTTACTGAGGAAATGGAGTACTGCCTTCAATTTGAGGTGGCTTTATTTTCAGGCATATTGACTAAGCTGGGCTTTGAGATTCATCCTTAAAGCCTTAGGTGATCCACTGTAAACAGGAGGAAGGAATAAAACAAAGGTCAAATAAATGTGGGCGAGAAGTATACAGGTAAGGAAAAGGCCACGTGTGTTGTGTTGTAAAGAGGAGGGGTTGGTAAGGAACAGGCAACGCTGTATGTGCAATCCTGTGCGATATTACGGGAGGGGTTTTCTAGCTCTACAAAGTTCTTCTTACTATTTTTTTTTTAAAGATTTTATTCATTTGTCAGAGAGAGAGAGCACATGAGCAGGGGGAGCGGCAGGAGGAGGTAGAAGCAGGCTCCCCGCCGAGCAAGGAGCCCCACGTGGGGCTCATGGGATCATGACCTGAGCCAAAGGTAGATGCTTAACCAACTGAACCACCCAGGCATCCCTGGTTTATCTTATTTTTTAAAGTTTTTGTGTCTTCTCTCTATCTCGAGGTATTAATTATGGTTTCCCTCTGCTGTCACTTGATTTAAAACCTATAGGAAACCAGTGGTTATGTGTATCTGTCCATGGCAAAATCTCCACTGGCTAGCTCAGTACTTGGCACACAGTATAACGGAATAAACAAATGCCATCTTTTCCCCATGCATCTTTAGTTATTCTGTCTGAAATAACAGTAATGATAATAGTAAGAGTCATACTCCTAAAAATCACCACTTACTGAACACTTCTGAATCAGGCACTGTGTTAAGTGATCTACATACATTATCTAAATTAATCCTCAAAACAATCCTGTATTAAGTTGAAATATAGGAAATTGCCAATACTCGATTTTTTTTTGTTTTTTGTTTGTTTCTTTAAATAAACTTTTGGGGTATCTGGCTGGCTCAGTTGATAGAGCACGAGACTCTTGATCTCATGTAAGTTTGAGCTCCACGTTGGGTATCGAGACTACTTAAGAAAATAAACAAAATCTTAAAGTTTTAATCTGGGAATTGTTTTAAATTCACACAAAGGTTGTAAGGATAGTACAGAGAACTCTTGCATATGTTGTACCCAGCTTCCCTTATTAGTAATACATTATTATGGTACATTTGTCACAACTGATGAATCATACCTGTAAATTACTATTGGAAGTCCATACTTTATTCAGAATTCCTTACTTTTTACCACATGTCTTTCTTCTAGTCCAGCATCCTATCTGGAATATCACATTATATTTGGTTATGTCTCCATAGACTCCTCAGAGCCAGTTTTTATGAGTACTAACGAGGTATTTTATTATGTTTTTCTTATGGTTAGATAACTATTTTGAGGAGGAAGAGATCACAAAAGGTAAGTGCCATCTTTATCACATCACAGTCAGGGGCACAAAATACCAGCATGACTTGTCACGGCTGACAGTGACCTTGATTACCTGGCTAAGATGGTCCGTGTCCGGTTTCTCCACTGTACTTTTTGGAAGAAGTTACACTTAAGGAGGAAGGTCCTCGAAGGCGGCTGCCTAGATAAATTATTTGGAATCCTTCTATATGAGAGATTTGTCTGTTGTCTACTATTTGTCAGTTATGTCAGTATGAACATCCATTTTATACTTTAGGGTACAACCCAATTTTATGTTATTTTATTGCTCAAATTGTTCCAGCTTTGGCCACTAGAAGCCTTTGACATATTTCCATCATTTTGTTTTTTGAGCACTTCCTTACTGTCTGGCTCTTCGAGATGTTCCAGACAAACCTTAGAGATTTCCTGCCTTGGTCCTAGAATCAGACATTTCTTCACAAAGCCTGTTTCCTTTTATTAAAGAATGGTGTAAGACACCGGGATCTGGATGCTTAGGTTGAACTATTTTTGTTTTATAAAAAAACAATTTCACATGGCACAACATAGTATTACCTCAGTTTTACCGATGAGAAAACTGAAGCTGGAGGAGAATTAGTAACTTATACTGAAGATCTATGGATTCAAAGTGCCAGAACCAGACATCAAATCCGCATAAAATAAAGTCACCAATTTTAACAGGCTATGAGTAAAGGACATGATCACTGAAGCTTGGTGTTAGCTATTTTAGTTACTCAAAGAGGTTTTGCTTACTCTATGTTCATAGACTGATGGAAAAAATAGGACACTGTTATGTAGTCCAGCCCTTTCATGGAATAATACATTGAATTTCAAAGTAAAAAAAGGACCATTTTTTTCTTTCTTTTTTTTTTTTTAAAGATTTTATTTATTTATTTGTGAGAGAGAGAGAGAGAGCACAAGCAGGCAGAGTGGCAGGCAGAGGCAGAGAGAGAAGCAGGTTCCCTGCTGAGCAAGGAGCCCGATGCAGGACTCAATCCCAGGACCCTGGGATCATGACCCAAGTCGAAGGCAGTGGCTTAACTCACGGAGCCACCCAGGCGTCCCAAAAAAGACGATTTTTTTTCTATAGCCACGTAGATTTTTAAAAGTATATCCATCACTCACTATAATTACAGGAAATCAGTTCAAAAACCCATTCTTGCAACTGTTTTTTCCCCTAAGACCAAAATACCTATAAAATGAACAACTGATGTATTAATACTATCTTTAGCAGTTTATAAAAATACAGTCAAGATAACTGAATGTTTCCCAGTTACTGCAGAAGAAAAATACCAAAAATTAAACATAAAGTGTTGAGTATTTGATTTGCAAGAGACCTTATAAGATTAGACCGATTTACTTCCAAAGCTGGTGGTTTTTGCATAAAATGTACTCCTGATTCTATGTCTTCATGTTAATTAGTTTTACTAATACAAATTAAAACTTACTAGAATACCTAGCCACAATGGATCCTTTTAAAATCAAGGTTTCCTATTTATTCATCTAGCACAAAACTTTATTAATCATCTTATTAGAATAATTTTCAAAATCAACTGCTGTGAATATCACTGAAGTTAGATTTATGGAGCAATTTTCCCTTTCCACAACCAAACCACAAAAAAAATAAAAAAGAAAAACCAGTTTGAAAGGAATCATAAAAAATTACCTAGTTCTGGGGCACCTGGGTGGCTCAGTGGATTAAAGCCTCTGCCTTCGGCTCAGGTCATGATCTCGGGGTCCTGGGATCGAGCCCCACATCGGGCTCTCTGCTAAGCAGGGAGTCTGCTTCCCCCTCTCTCTCTGCCTACCTCTCTGCCTACTTGTGATCTCTGTCTGTCAAATAAATAAAAAATAAAAATCTAAAAAAAACCAAAAACATTACCTAGTTCAAACCTCTTATAGAAACTAAAGTATTGTGAAGCTAAAGGTTTTGCCTAAAGTTCACTGCTAGTTAATTAATGAAAAAGGACTAACAGCCACATATCTTAAGACTAGGTTCTTTCTCCTATACTGTACTGCCCTATAAAATATACAATAAATTATATATATATGTGTGTGTGTATATTTATGTATATACAACTATATACGTATGTATTATGCTAGTAAGATTCTTTTCTTGTTGAAGGATTTTCAAACCGTCTGTAATAACAAGGAACTGGAGAACAAGTATAAAAATGGTACTCCTACTCTATTACCCTCAATTCATTTTCACTGAACTTAATTTTTTTCAGTGCCCAGTCTACAAGCTAAGTATGTGCCAGGCACTAGAGGGCTGGATGCTTGGAGAACAAAGACATGGTCCCTACCCTTAAGAAAGCTCTCAATTTTAAATTCATAGCACCCTCCTAAATGTCTCCCGTGCTGATTCTTCCTTATCACACAAACTCTAGAAGAGTGCTCCAACAGAAATACAATGTGAATCACCAGTGAGCCATGAATATTACGTAATTTCCACACATTACGTAATTTCCACATTACACACATCCCTCCAACAATCTCATGGCCTTAAATACCACCCATTTTCTAGTGACTCCCAATTTATATCAGGCTTAGACTCCCACCTCAACTTTAGATTCCTACACAACTCCCTGCACACAAACCTAACATGTGCTACACTGAACTCCTGACTTCCACCTGGCTCTCTCCACCTAAATCTGCTTCCTCTTCCTCTCTGTGAAGGGCAACTCCATCCCTTCAGTTGCTCAGGCCAAAAACCAGAGTCAAGCTTGACCCTCTTCTTTCTCCTTCCTGCATCCAGTTCATCATCTGTCTTTAAAATTGTTTATTAAATACAGTCAAAGCTTATACAGTTCATAAAATACAGGGAGAATCACTACTTCTCACCTGTTCCACTGCTAAGTTCTACTTCAGGTCACAAGCATCTCTCACCTAAATCACCACAACAACTGCCTACCTTCCACTTCTCACGGCTCCCTGCACTCTTACAGTCCACTTTCCACAGGAGCCACAGTTTCTAAACCCAAGTGAGATACTGTCCCTCCTCAGCTTTAATGCCTTCCTATTTCACCCCAAGTAAAACTCCAAGTTCCTCCAGCAGCATGTGAAGATCGACAAAGCCCTGTGAGGTCTAGTCCATCACTCTCTCCCTCATGCAAGCTACTCCAGCTACACTGGCCGCCTTGCTGTCCCAGAGCACCAAGAGCACTTTCAGCACCACTGAGAGCCTTCCCACTTGCTACTGTTCCCCCTGCTTGGAATGCTTTTACCCAGAACCCACAGATTGATCCCCAAATCATGCCAGTCTTTGCTCAAATGTCCCCTATTTAGAACTGCAATACTATTCTTCACATCCTCTGTCTCGTCTTCCCTTTCTTGTCCCACTTTTTCTCCAGAGGATTTAACCACCACTTGATAATGTATATTTCATTTAGTAATGTCTTTCTTTTCTTCCCCTATGAGAATAAAATTCCACCAGGACAGGGTTTTGTTTGTTTTGTTCACAGTTCTATTCCCGGTGCCTAGAACTCAGCATACAGCAATCAATATATTTTTTTTAAAAGATTTTACATATTTGACATAAAGAGAGATCACAAGTAGGCAGAGAGGCAGGAAGAGAGAGGGGGAAGCAGGCTCCCTGCTGAGCAGAGAGCCCGATGTGGGGCTTGATCCCAGAATCCTAGGATCATGACCTGAGCCAAAGGCAGAGGCTTAACCCACTGAGCCACCTAGGCGCCCCATCAATAAATATTTGGTAAATGAACAAATGCTGTCAAGTATTGTATGGATTAAATGAGATCATAAATAAAGCTGTAGTGTGTCCCTATAATACAGCAGCCACTCATGAACATTTGCCTTTTTCTTACTTGTGGTGGTGCTTTCCATAAAAGAAAAATCAAAACTCTAAAATTACGTAAATTCTAAAGCCTTATATCTCATTCTATACTTTTCTTACTCCTTACTCTAAATATCTGATCATTAATTGTTCAAGAGACAATTTAAAAAGACATATAATAGAAATTACCTAATTTTTAAAAATCAGTAGGTAGATATAAAATTCAGTAGGTATCATAGAACACTAACTCAGAATGTAATCTCCCTTAAAATACGGAGAAAATTAAATAAAGTGCTGTTTAAATCATTTTTTTAAAAATTTTATTTATTTGACAGAGAGATCACAAGTAGGCAGAGAGGCAGGCACAGAGAGGGGGAAGCAGGCTCCCCACTGAGCAGAGAGCCTGATGCAGGGCTCGATCCCAGGACCCTGAGATCACGACCTGAGCCGAAGGCAGAGGCTTAACCCACTGAGCCACCCAGGTGCCCTGTTTAAGTCATCTTTAAAGATAAAAAACCATAATCTATGGCTCTCTCCTTTAAGAAAATTTAAAATGGATTCACAGTGTTCAACAGGACTTCACTTTTATTCATCCAGAACTTGTATCCTGCTTTCCTCTAAGGGAATTTGTTTTAGTCTAAGAGATCATCATTTTCTTTAAAAAAAACATGAACAAAAACAAAAACAAAACAAAACAAACCCAACCATACATATTGCTTAACTGAAAAAACTTCAATGAAAAAAAAAATGAACCTAGTCTGAACTTTGGTATTCCTATAAAATTATTTTGTGTTTAAAGCTAAAATAAATAGATTAAGGAACTAAGATATTAATAAAATGTGACCCCCTTTCCAAAACACTGAGTGCCAGAGACTTCAAGTGACTGGCCCACAGAGATCACAATGTTGGTGACTAAACTGAGACTAAAAGGTCATGGCCTTGAATCCTCCTCTTACACACTTGCTACTACACTTCACTAATACATAAACCAATGCCTTACACACCAACCAATTATGCTGGCTGCCCCTGCTCCTTTAAAAAGGAAGAAAAATAAAAGCAAATGGAGTACTGTAATTTGCAATGATAATTTCTACTTCAGACAGGAAAGTTTATGGAGAAAAGACAGAAACATGCACAAACGAGCGAAGTGTAAGAATTGTCATGGAGATATTATAAAGACAGGTAGAAGAAATAAGCATAAAATGCCATAGATACATGGTTTATATTTCGTTTTTCAAAAAGCTAACAACTCATGGGATTTATAGGTGTTCAGAAATTTGGATAAAATTTCATGTTATCACTGATGAGAATGACGTACCTTACGTTCCACGCAGTGGTGAAGTCTGGGTTTAGAAGCAGCAGGGTGCATGTGACATCTATCAGTTCTAAAATAAAGAGAAATCACATTAAAAATAGTCCTACCCTTTGAAGCCTGGCTTTTCTTTAAGTTATATCTTGTGTATCTGTACCTGATGTTATACTAATATATATACTATGTCATAATAACTTTAATGGCAGATACCCTGTTCTAAGCTGTCAGAAATATGAAGATTACTCTCAAGATTTTTTCTACTTTATGATAAAAGTTACTCTTAAAAGTTGACACTGAAATAATTTTACAACACTTTATGGCTACAAAGACTATTCATTCATTCTTTTAATAGTTTTTGGCTCTAATTTAATATTGACCAAGGAAAAGAAATACAATTTCTGTACCATTATTCTTTTAATTCCACAAATATCTCAATAACTGACTATCTGCAAATTTTCAGAAAGGGAAAAAAGACCCACTCATAATCATTTAACACAATTCATTTACATTCGCCTGCAAAGATTACCCTTTCTTACCCACATTTTTACATAGTCATAGCAATGATAAATGCACCACTTTGTTCTCTTTTCCATTCAATATTATTTGACATGCATTCTCCAGTATTGCTACAGTTATGCATTTTTAACAGCTGCAAAACAACCCTTAGTGTAATACACTATCATTTATCTTTATCATTCTTTATGTTTTTTCCTGTTTGTTTTTACTATTATAGATAATATTACTGTAAACACACTTTTTGTCTCATAGATTATTTTCTCAGTACATATTCCCAGGAGTTGAACTACTATGTCAAACAATACAAATACCAGTATGGCTCCTACTAAGCATTTCCAAACTGTCCTTCAAATGAACAGCATCTACTCATATTGCCAAGATAACAGGAGTGCACTTATGTCCCTGTAACTCTAACCTATATAATGGTATTTTAAAAAATGAATGTAGCAGATAAAAAATTATACTTTGCTTTATTTTACAACTTTAATTTATAATCATTAATATAAATACTTTTTCATTTTTGTTCAGTATTTTCTATTTTCGTTTTTAAACAGCCTATTCAGTATTCATTAGCTATTTGACAATCATGGTACTGTCGGAATTCCATACATTCAAATAAGCTCCATAAGCTTGTTTAATAGGGCAAAATCAGTAATATAATTAGAATATTGTCTTCATTTTACTAAAACTGAAAAGAGAATTTTAGGATTAAGATGATCAATGTAGGACCATGAAATTAAAGTAACTTCTACCAAGCTCATATTAACCAACCAAACACCAAGTAAAATAAAATAATAAAAATAATTATAACTATTTAGCATTAGTGTATACCAGGCACCACTGGAGGTCTTTTATTTACATTATTTCATTGAGTTCTCATGATTATGGTTCAAGATATTCTTGTTTCGCTTCACAGAAAGGAAACTGACATATAGAAAGTTTAAATAATTTGCTCGTGGGCACCCAATATGTATATGGCAAAGTCAGCATCTGACTGTTTTTAATAATTTAATTACATGGTAATTAAAATACCTGTCTATAATAAATAGTTGGGACATCTCAGTGTTTAATAAACTTTTTAAAACACAAGAGCATGCATAAATATATCTCTGTATTCTTTTTAAAATATTCTAAGTGAAAAAATCAATTATTTAATTCTCAACCATCTTATGAAATTAACATGTATTGTCAGCCTATCATTTCATTACTGTAACATTCAATAAATGAGAAATAAGATTAGCATACCTTTTTTTTAAAAGATTTTATTTATTTATTTGACAGAGATCACAAGTAGACAGAGAGGCAGGCAGAGAGAGGGGGAAGCAGGCTCCCTGCTGAGCAGAGAGCAGGATGTGGGGCTCGATCCCAGGACCCTGGGACCATGACCTGAGCCGAGAGCAGAGGCTTTAACCCACTGAGCCACCCAGGTGCCCCTAGCATACATTTTTGACCTTTATCTTCCTCATTACAAGTCATTATATGCACAAATACAATATGTCTATAAAGAATAACCTAATTATTAACCTCTTCATTCTTTTACTTTTATAAGCTTTTGGCACTAATTTAATATTTACTAAGAAAAATAACTGTAATTTTCTATACCATAACTTGTTTAATTCCATAATATCCCAAGTACTGATTATGTGCAAATATTAAACTGGGCCCTTAGGACTGGCAGAAGAGATATAATGATAAATAAGACCCGATCTTGCCTTCTAGAAGGTTACCCTTTAGTTGGAGAAAACATACAAAGAATTATATAAGACAAAATGAAATAATGATGAACTGGAAACATGTACCATATTTTGGGAACCACCAAAGCAGTTGAAATTAATTCTTACTGGAGTAAGGGAAGGCTATAAGTGAATAAAGTGGTAAAGAGCACTGCAGACTGGAAAAAAGTATGAGCAAGGATAGAGGCACAGAAGGTCACACAGGGTGCTCTCCAAGAGACGGTGGGTATCAGAACTTGACTAGAGCACGGGATACTGGAGAACTGTACCAGAAAACTAGAACCTGGTCAAAAACAAGAACCCACAATCTCCTTCTCAGCCTCCCTTCTACTACTTGCCCTTCATGTGCTATACTCCACCTGAGCCAAACCCCACTATTCTCTAAACACAACTCCTATCTGACTACCTTCTTTGGATAACCAGCTTTACCTGTTTGCTCCTCTCTCTGCCAGAAATGTCCTCCTTTATTTGAATATTAAACAAAATTTTCTTTTTTCCATAAAGTCTCTCCTGACCTACCTACCTGGAGCAATCTTCATTTCTATGTTCGTATGTATCTTACTTTATTACTGATACTGTATAAATAATCTCTTCTTGATGAGACTACACTCTTTGGAGGCAGGTCCTCTCTAATACATCTTCAGATTACTCATTCACTCAACAAAGATGAGAAAAATATGGCCCCTGTCCAAAAAGTTCCATGTGTACCCACAGCATAGAGGAATTGTAAGCCATGGCACGTAGGTTTGAATCCCAGCTTCTCCACTTAATTGCCTATGTAACTTAACGTTTTCGAACATCAGTTTCCTTATCTGTGAAACAAGAATGATGAGAAGGTCAATCTCTGTTGTGAGCCAAGTGAGATTCATTCCAATTCTCCAGTTATTTGACATATAGTAAATGCTTAACCAAACCAAAGATTTGTCCAATGAAATACCATTGCTACTTACCAACCAAAAAATGAATACTTTCAACATTAATCAAAGAAATCAGAAATAAGGCCGTTGTTTTTACAGTGAAACTATGTAAACTTCTAAACTTTTAAAATAAGGAATGAGAAAAACCCATGTATTAAGTAGCTAATGGAAATCCTTCTGTATTATGGGAAGACTTCTAGAATTTCTTTTCAAGTCTACAACTTTTCAAAATCCATTACACTACCTAGGTAACCTGGTACTTACTGGACTCTCTTTATTTGGCATTAAAAAGAAATGTGTGGGGGCACCAGGATAGCTCAGCTGGTTAAGCGACTAACTTTGGCCCAGATCATGATCCTGGAGTCCTGGGATCGCGTCCTGCATCGGGCTCCCTGCTCAGCAGGAAGTCTGCTTCTCCCTCTGATCCTCACCCCTCTCATGCTCTCTCTCACTCTTTCTCTGTCAAATAAATAAATAAATAAAATCTTAAAAAAAAAAATGTGTGTAACTAAAGGTAGTTGCCATTTGTTTGTACGGCTGACCCTCGAACAACATGGGTTTGTGCCACATAGGTCCATTTGCGAATTTTTTTCAATAAATACAGTACAGTACTGTAAATATATTTTCTCTCCTTTATGATTTTCTTTTCTCTAGCTTACTTTATTGTAAGAATACAGTAAATAATATATGTAACATACAAAATTTGTGTTGACTATGTTATCAGTAAGTCTTCTATCAACAGTAGGCTGTTACTAGTTAAGTTTTTGGGGAGTCAGAAGTTATATGCAGATTTTTGAATGCACTACGTGGGGTGAGTCCAGTGCTGTAATCCCTGCATTGCAGAAGAGTCAACTACACTTCTAACACAACTCTCCTTCCCCACTCAGAAGTGAAGGCAAGTTCCTCCTCCATCACAGAGATACTTCTGTGAGGCAGGACAAGGCAGAAACCAGTAAACACAGAAAATACCTAAGTTGCCACTTTTCATTTTGTGGCTGTGTGGAAAGAAAAGCTAATCAAAAGAAGGCTTCTTCTACCAGCAGGGCTCATCCTACCTCTAGGATACCAGCAACGGCTGGATTCAAAGCCCAGCTCCAACTTTCCAGGAAGCACCTGGGCAAGGCACTTAACCTCTCTGTGCCTCTGTGTCTTCCTCATATGTAAAATGGAGCTAATAATAGCACTACCTCATGAGTCTTACATGATTCACACTCACGAAGTGTTAGGACAATACCTGACACACATTAAGCACGCAACGATAATTCCAGTTTCCGAGCCTGAATCTCCTAGCCCAGCTCTGCCATATACTAGGACTGGATGCCACCAGAGGGCGGAAAACAATCGCCTGAGCAGGCTAAGCAGTGACTGCTCGGCCCCTTATTCCTCAGCTTCTAAGAATCTCAGGATTTACGACATCGACGGCCTCACGGGTTGTGTATAAAACACCTGCAGCCACAAGCCTTTTTCCTGTCCTGTTTGACAAACTGCCAAGTCCTCCCCACTCAGGACTCAAGTTCAGACAGGACCTCCTTCAGGAAGCATTCCAGTCAGATCCAAGAGGTGGGGGTGAAGTGAAATGTCAGAGACAGGAAAGGGCCAAAGAAAGAGAAGCAACCGGTTTAGAAATATTGGATAATTAAAGAATCATTCCTGAATTACATGTTATTTTCTTTTTTTCTTCCCCACTGGTTCCGATTAAATCAGAGAAAGGAAATCGTGTTTTCTGAGAGCCTAGTATGTGCGACACTCCTCACTGGGTGCTTTATACACACTAACTCGTGTGATCCTCTCAAAAACCCTCTGAAACCTTTTACAATTCCTTCTTTTGGTGAAGAAACAGGAAGAGGTTAAATAGTTTGCCTTAAGTTACTGCTAAGTGACTTCAGCATGCTGACCAACCGAATCTA